TCAGGTCTTACATTTAAGTCTTCCATCCATTTTGAGTTTATTTTTGTCTGTGGTGTAAGAAAGTGGTCTAGTTCCTTTCGCTCCCTCCCTCCCTTCCTTCCTTCCTTTCTCTGTTCAGTTTTCCCAATGTCATTTGTTGAAGACTACCTCTTCCCCATTTTATATTATTGCCTCCTTTGCCATAGATTAATTGAATATGTAAGCATGAGTTTATTTCTGGGGTCTATATTCTGTTTCATTGATCTATATGTTTTTAACCATAATGTCATATTACCAACCTCTCTGCTTTTTGTGGGGGATTTTTAGATTTTATTTACTTATTTTTAGAGAGAGGAGAAGGGAGGGAGAAAGAGAGGGAGAGAAACATCGATGTGAGAGAAACATTGATCACTTACCTCAGATGGCCTACAACCCAGGCGTGTGCCCCGAACTAAGGACCCTTCAATGCACAGGCCAGCACTCAGCAGTCTGAGCCACACCACCCAGGGCTCCTTCTGGTTTTTCTATGGAAGCTTTTAATATAATCTCTTTCAAAAAGGAGAACATTGAACTAGTTTCTTGTTTGTCCTTCCAGAAATTTTTAGTGTATAAAAGATGATATATATTTGTATTTTTCTTTCCCCACTCCAATAAAAATACTAACATTGTTCTATAATTTGCTTTAAAAATATCTTGACTGTTGTTCCTTGTTATTAATTATAGAGCTGCCTCGTTGTCTTTAGTAGCTGAATTACATTTCATTGTATGAATATATCATAATTCATTATCTATTTGCCTCCTCATGGACACTTAGATTGCTACCAGTGTTTTACTGTGGCTGTAGGGATTGACTTCACATGTGTATGATGTGGCTTATGTACATCTGTATGATACATTTTTAAAAGGAAATGCTAGGTTAAAGGGTAGGTGTATGTTTAAATTTTTGATAGCCTTTGCTAAATTGCCTTCCATAGAAATTGTACTAACTTACAGTCCCACCAACAATGTCTGAGAACACCTGTTTCTCCATAACTACTGTCTCAAACAGACATTTTTTATTTTTGCTACTTTGTAAAAGGTAGTAATTTGCATTTCTTTTATTATGAGTGAGAGTGAATTGCTTTTCTTGATCATAAGACGTATTTGAATTCCCTTTTCTGGGAATTATTTATACATGTGCGTCAGGCTTTTTTTTTTAGTGGCTGGTTAGGTTTTCAAAAATTATTTGTAGACCCTTTCTTTTACAGTGTTGTTTTAAATATAAATTGATTTTGTAGAGGGAGATGGAGAAGGAGAAACATTGATTTGTTGTTTCACTTAATTTATGAGTTCACTGGTTGATTCTTGTATATGCCCTGCCCAGGGATCAAACCTGCAACCTTGGCATTTTGGGATGATGCTCTAACCAGCTGAGCTACCCAGCCAGGGCTAGATCCTTTCTTACAGTAGGAAAATTAGTCCCTTGTGATTTGCTGCTCATACTGTTTTCCCATATTTTCATTTGTATTTTGACTAAGTTTATTGTTTTTTTTCCTTGTAGAAATAGTTTTTTTTTTATGTAGTTGAATTGATCAATTTCTTCATTGCCTTTTGTTTTGCATGTTCTCAGAAGGGCTTTTCTTTCTTTGAGCTTATAAAAAAATATTACCTCCTGTTTTCTCTTAGTTTTATGATTTAATTTTTTATGTTTAAATCTTTACTTCATGTGAAATTAATTTGGGTGTTTAGAATCCAGTTTAATCCCCTCCCCCCACTTTAGATTTCTGTCTTGTGTCACTATCATTTACTGGACAACTTTCCCCCCATTGGCTGTAATGTTACTTCAATCAATTACTGCATAGTATTCATATCTGTTTCTTTACTCTATTCCACTGATCAGTTTGTCTATTCAGATCCATTATCAAACCTGTAATTGCTTCACCTGTGTATTTTAATAGCTTATAGGGCTAATGTCCCCACCGCATTACTGTTTTCCAATTTTTTTTTCTCCTTGCATTTTGGTTAGTCCATACATGTTTTAGAATTAGTTTTTCTGGTTCTTAAGACATTGTTGTCTGTTGTCTGTTGTTGTTGTTTTATAATTAGCAAACTGTTTACAAGACTAGTCTCTACCAGCATTTTTCATAGTGCATTTTGTAGAATAATGGTCCTGTGAGAATTCTTCCCTAAGGCACAGGTGGCAAACACAAGGCCCGAGGGCCGAGTTCAGCCCTCTACCGTGTTTTATCCGGCCCAGCACCTTGTTTCTACTTGGCAGCAGCGCTGAGCTCCTTTCCCCTAGTTAAGGCGTAGTTACATTTATAGAGTCTTAAAATTACATTTGGCCCTTTGAAGGCAACCTTGAGGCTGATGTGGCCCCCGGTGAAAATGACTTTGACACCACTGCTCTAAGGAAAACTCCCATGTCTAATGTTTTTAAGAAATGCTACACATTAGCCCTGGCTGGCGTAGCTCAGTGGATTGAGCATGGGCTGTGAACCAAAGTGTCGCAAATTCAATTCCCAGTCAGGGTACATGCCTGGGTTGCAGGCCATGACCCCAGCAACCGCACATTGATGTTTCTCTCTCTCTATCTCTATCTCCTTCCCTTCCCTCTCTAAAAATAAATAAATAAAATTTTTATTTAAAAAATTAAGTACAGAAAACAGATGAGTACAGCAACATTAAAAAAAAAAAGAAATGCTACACATTATAACTCCTCTGTATACATTAATACATCAAAAGCTCTGAAATGTTTAGAAATGAAGAAATGTGTTTAACTTTTTAAACTGAGTTTTCCAGACTTATTTGATCACAGAATCCTTATTTAATACAAAATGTTCCTGCAGGATATTCTGTAGAATATATATTGAGAAACATTGATGTATTATATATTTTCTTCATCTACATTTCATAACTCACTGTAATCTGGCTACAGTCCTTATGCCAGTTTCTTTTAAAACTGTTCTTCCCAGGGGTGCTGGTGACTCTTTGTCACCAAACTCCATAGATGTTTTTATTTATTTTATTATTTAAGATTTTATTTATTTATTTATTTTTTGAGAGAGGGAAGGGAGGGGGAAAAAGAGGGAGAGAAACATCAATGTGTGGTTGCCTCTTTCACGACGACCCCAACTAGGGGCCAGGCCCACAACCCAGGCATGTGCTCTGACTGGAAATCAAACCAGTGACCCTCCAGTTTGCAGGCCGGCACTCACTCCACTGAGCCACACCAGCCAGGATCGATAAATATTTTTACAGTCTTTCTAAAATTTGACTTTTATGGATTTTCAACTTATTCATCATCCATCTTTTGATATTTTATCCTTTCTTGACTTTGGTGAAATTATTCTCTTGTTTTTGTTTGTTTGTTTGCTATGTTTTCCTCCTCTTCTTTAGTCTCCTTTATGGGGTCTTCACTCTACATGCTCTGCCCTCTGCTTTCTACATAGGATATAGCACTGTAGCACTGACACTTGATTTGCTGAGGACGCTTGTATCTGTATCTATAACATACTCCTGTGTTTGAGTTACAAACATCTCTTCACTGGTGTTTGATAGACTTTCCATTTGGACTTAATTCATAGGCCCATCTAGCTCAGGCCCACCTCACAGGCCCAACACTGAAAACAGTCTCTGCTGGCCAGTGCAAAATTGCATTTTGTAGCAGATATAAACCTCAGCAAGTAGAGTTCAGGGTGGATTTCAGTCCCTACTTTTTTCCTTGGTAGGATATAGTCTGCATAACTGTATGTGGTACTCGACTGTAATTCTGGAATTTGTTTCCCCATTTGTCTCCCTGCATACTGCCTTAATTCAGGCTCATGGTTTTTGGTCTAATATCCTTGTTTTTACTCTATTTCCCTGTCTTTGGTTTTTCTCCTTTTGTGTCATCCTTCTAAAATGGAACTCGAGGCAACTCTCCCAATTAATATTTTTAATTGTTTCCTATTTCCTTCCGTATAAAATGTGAATGTCTTAGTGTTGCATACAATGCTTTTTCTGATCTGGCTCTTATATACATTTTCATGCTGCATTAAGGTACTTCTTTTTTGTTCTGCTTCTTAAACTTCTAGTCCTTAGAACATGCTCTTCATAAAGTAGTATCTTTCCATTACCCATATCTGATTGGCTAATTTCTGTTGGTCTTCAGGACTTTTTTCAAGTGTTACCTTTTCTATGAATCCTTTCTGATCCTCATAGTCTTAGATGTCCTCCCTTTGTTTCCTCATGTATGGTTTTTGTCATGTATAGCATTTGTGCTTGTGCTATACACAATTTATTTAGTCTACTGGTTAGAATTAGGACTCCCAAGAGCAGAAATTGTTTTCAATTTCTTCAAGGCCTTTGGGCAACAGTTTTAAATGATACTCCTGAGATTCTTTAGATCGTTTCTAAAGTTTTTTAGGCTCTTTATTCCCTTCTTGGTGCCCCCCTTCTTCCCACCTCCTCAGTACTGTTCCCTTTTTCACCTGTGGCTCCATTTTTTTAGCTATCATTCACCCAACATTTTGTTTAAAGATCTGTATCTGAATGGGAGAATGGAAGGAAGGGAGGAAAGGAAAAGGAGAGGGAGGGGAGGGGAGGGGAGGGGAGGGGAGGGGAGGGGAGGGAGGAAAGAGTCCTAATTCGTGTACAATGCCCAGAACAGTAGGCATTGGAGAAATATGGTTGATAAATCAATCCTGATATCTGCTTTGATAGACTGATAATGAAATGACCAGCAGTTCTAACCTGGCATGCCAGTTTACTCCCCTTTCTTCCAGCATACCACTTTGTTTTTTAGTTTTGATTAACTTTTATTATATTGCTTGCTCTGCCTGAAGTTTCCTTTCCTTCCTTTGAAGAGGTGCTTTAATAAATTTTTATGGTGTCAATTTATGGGATTTAATTTGACTTGGTAAAATGATTTTTTGTTGGTATCAGACAATCTTTGGGTTCTGAAAAGTCAAGTTTTTGGTGTAACGCTCCTATGAATTGCTTGTTCAACTAAGCTATTTGTAAAATTATTTTCAACCTGATGTAATGCTTTTCTTTTTCAGCTTGTGAAGCTTTGTATTGTGATGATTGATACTGGAAAAGCCTTTTGTGCTGCAAATAAACAGTTCATAAATGGGATTCGAGATCTGGCACAATATTCTAGTAATGATGCTGTAGTTGAGGTTAGTATTTTAAAATTAGTTAAAATGATAAATGCAACAGGACATCTATCAATTATGTATCCATTTGCCTTAGAGTTATAGTGGTCCTTAAAATTTGAAGTAGAAAGGCTGTCACCCATTAGCATTATCTTATATATAATTCTGTTTTCTTTAATAGTTACTAGTTGATGGTTGATTTACATTGTGAATATAAGTTTACTTACTGCTCAGTGAGCTGAAGCGTGTACAAGAAGGCTTGAGCAGGATCTTGCTTACTAGTAGCTGCTTACAGAGAAAGCAGAGCATTAATCTAAAAAGAGTATCTAACTGTAGGTGTGGGGGAGTTGCATAAGAAAGTTTTGGTCAGCTACCTATGCCAGGTTATCCTAGACCCCTTGCTACACTGTGTGGTATTATGACACTGCTTTTATAAGGTATAGTTTGATGATTATTTGATCCACAGATGCCTACGTGGGCATGGTCTTGATACATTCAATTTAACTTCTAGGTTTATTTACATCATTTCTATTGGTTAGCATAATATTATTAGTAGAGCAGTACTAATTCGTTGACTATTCTAGGGTTTTATGTTACTACATGGAGACATGACCTCTGCAGAGTAAGCCCACGAGGTCGTGAGATTGTTCTTAGAAGTAAATATTATTGTTTACAGTGTGACTTGATCTTTCTGTCAGAAATGCTAAAGTAACATTTTTGTGGCCTGTTTCAGTAGCTCTTAAATGACTTGTTTTTTTCTTTTGGTTTCTTTCTCATAGACAAGTTTGACCAAGTTTTCTGACAGCCTTCAAGAAATGATAAATTTTCATACAGTAAGTGTCAGTATTACTATGACCATGTTATTTTAGTACTTTTTTTTTTAGTGGCTGTATTTTATAAAATTACTTAAGTTGGAATTCAATGACTTTGAATTTGTCAACAACTTTTTAGGGGGGTAATCTAAAATGTGTGTAAGTGTGAAAGAGAGAGAGTAAGAGAGGGAGAGAGGACAGATTTTACTTACCATTCTAAAATACTGAACTTATATCAATGAAGTACACACCCATAAGTTGTTTTTCTTTTAAGTTGTACCTTTGTAACTTTTTAAGCAATTATTTTAAGAACAAACAAATAAAAGTCATTCTGAATTTAGTTACTTCCTATTTCTTTTAAGATACTTGCAAATAGCCCTGGCTGCTATGGCTCAGTGGGTAGAGCACCAGCCTGTTAACCAAAGGGTTGTCGGTTCAGTTCTCAGTCAGGACACATGCCCAGATTGCAGACCAGGTCCCCAGTAGGGTGCGTGTGAGAGGCAACCACACATTGATGCTTCTCTCCTTCCCTTCCACTCTGTCTAAAAATAATAAAATATTTTTAAAGAATACCTTTAAAAATACTTACAAATATATACCCTTTGATCATTGCCATTATTAAAGACTGCTGTAATTATTTGACATTTATATGTATTTTTAATATTTGAGGACATTTTCCCTTCAGGAATGAGGGACATGTATTACTTTTGGAATGTCAGGAAATTCCTTTATAAATTTCATAAAAATTTACTGAAAATATGGTAGCTTATAAGCTATATACTTTTTAATCTTTTTAAAAAAGCATGACATATATGGATGTTATAATTATTCAGTGTTTCAAAATTTATTAGCAATGGTCTATAACAAAAATATCAACACTTACATTCCTTATAAAATCTTTCAATTTTTTGTTCTTAGTTAATTTAATTTTTCTATTTTTCTGATTATAGCTATCCTAGTAGTTGTGAAGTGGAATCTCTGAGGTTTCAAAGGTTTCTAAGGCTTTAAAGGTTTCATTTCCGTAAAGACTAGTACAGCTGAGCATTTTTTCATGTATTTATTGGCAGTTTGTATATGTTCTTCCACCATTGTTGCTATTGTTCATTGAAGTCCTTTTTCCATTAAAATTTTTTAATTGAATTCTTTATATATTCTGCAGTCAACCTTAATCAGATATGTAATATTTATGGATTATGACATGTGTAAATGTTTTCTCCTATTCTATTGGTTGTCTTTTTACTTTTGATAATGTCCTTTGATGAACAAAAGTTTTAATTTTCATGAAGTTTAGTTTATTTTTTTCTTCTGTTGCTGCTAATGTTGGCATCTCAACATTATAAATCTCAAATCATGCTTCACTTCTTTGTTTCCTTCTAAGAGTTTTATGGTTTTAGCCCTAATATTTTGTTTTGAATGATTTCTTGTTCTCTTTTTGCCTTACAATGAACTTATATGCCAGTGTCTAGTATATTTGATTTCTCTTGAAATCAAGTGGTCTTTTGGATTCCAACTTCTTAAAAAGTATAATGAGAGTATTTTTTTTTGTTAACAGTTACAGATTTTAAATTAACATAATAGGTTAAATGTTTTTTCCATAATATGTTATCCTTTGTAATAGTCCTGTTTTTGATATTTTCTTTAAACCACCAGTCATATATTTTTGTTTTATATAAGAATCCTTTTTAATTTTATTGCCATATTATTTTTTATAACATCTCAGAATTTTTCTTTTAATAGGTATAAGTAAGAAATTGCTAGGCCTTGGTTCACTTTCTGCTTTGCTTGGTGTTTTTTGTTCTTGTTAACAAATACTTTTAATTTTTTCCAGGAGGAGAAACTTGTATGTACTTGAATCAGAATTCTTATATTTGTGGGGTGATATATATCTTATTTATTGTTATATCATCAGTACTTGCATAATTTTCATTCTAAGGAAGTCATTTAATTTTTCTAAGCTTTATATCTTTCCACTGTAAAATGAAGGGACCTCACTAGATGATATTTAATTATAGAAGTTATATAATTATAAAGTATTATTTATTATAAAATAAGTAAAATCTCAGAGCCATTTATTAAAATGTGGGAAAACAAACCTAGTTATATAAAATGCTTTATTTTAGTAGCATTCTCTACAATGAAATTTTAATTACATAGTATTACAGTATAAAGAAAGCTTTATAGGATAAGACAAACTGCTTTCTAAAAGGTAATCAATATTGAAATATTTTTTATATTCTATAGCAGAGTTCATACTACTTAGGTTTTGGTGTATCAGTTTGTGTCAGGATAGCAGGTTAGGTTTTCTACAGATGTCATTTATAAATAACTTTGTGGACTTAAATAGATGTTTGAAATAGGAGAGAGACTCATAGATGGAGAACAGATGACAGCTAATGGGGGTGGGAGGTTAGGGTCTAGGGGCATGGAGCAAAAAGGAAAAAGGACTCATGGTCATGGACAACATGGTAATTGCTGTGGGGAGGGGGTGCATAAGGGGACTAAATGGTAATGGAAAAAATATGATAAAGATTTTTTAAAAAGAACCATTTGAGTTATTAGCCAAGTAAGATTTAACATAGATTGGGATTTCACAACTCATTTGAAAAATAAATTATTTGGATTCTTTTGTGATTTAGTTCCTCTATAAAAATGGATAATACTGTTCCTTATTCCTTATAGAATATGAAGTTCCTAGAATTACTCTTTAACTCATATATCTTTATAAAATGCCAACTCATACCTTCTCCCGAGCAGGTCCTGTATGCCACATTCTGCTAAGTACTAGAGTTGATTTAAGTATTGATTTATTTTCCTGGAACATAATTTCTGTAACCTCACTGATGGCTCTTTTGGAATATGCTGTTGATACACAGAACTTGGAATATTTATTTACTATTTTTGCTGAGTGAAGCTTAAAAAATTGCTACATAAATTCTATGAAGCTCTGTGACCCTTTCTGTCTTTTTTTTTTTTTTGTAAGTGTGATTTTCTGTATTACAGCCATTCTCTCATTCATTCAGCAGATGAGTTTTTTTGATTCAGGGGAAAGTATCATTTTGTTATCGTTGCTTGCTATCATTATTGATTACTTTGCATTTTTAAGACTAAATGGAATCTTTTTTGTCTAATTTCTTGCAATGTAATTATTTTGAAGCTCATTTGTGTTACTTATGTATCAGTAGTTGACTTTTTTTATTGCTTGATAGTACTGCATTATATGTATATATTACAGTTTGTTTATCCATTTACCTGTTGATGGATTTATCACTTACCTGTTGCTGTTAACAAAAAATATGTATTAGCTTACAGTTTCTTGAACAGAAGTTTTTGTATAGGCTCAGAGTCTTTCATGAAATTGCTTATGAAGATGTTGGCTGGGGTTAGTCACTTGATGGGATTGGAAGATGTAATTCCAAGACAGGGCTCAAGCACTTTCTGTTTGGCTCTGGGTCTGGGTTTGTTTTGTTTTGTTTTGTTTTGTTTAAGATTTATGTGTTTTTAGAGAGAAAAGATGAAAGAGAGGGAGAGAAACATCAATGTGCGGGATACATTACTTGGTTGCCTCTTGCAGGCCCCCAACTGGGCACCTAGCCTGCAATCCAGGCATGTGCCCCAACTGAGAATCAAACCATGGACCTTTTGGTTTGCAGGTTAGTGCTCAATCTACTGAGCCATACCAGCCAGGCACAAGGGGCCTCTTCACAGGGCTTTTCAAGTGACCTTACTTTATGGAAGCTGGTTATTCCCAAAATAAGTAATGCAAGAGCAAGAGTAAGGAGAAAGCTGCAATATTTTTTATGACCTAGTCTTAAAAGTCACTCATTGTTGCTCCCTCCATATTAATATTTATTAGAAGTTAAGTCATTAAGATGAGCCCACTCTTAAGGGTAGGAAGAATCAGGCTTCACTTTTGAAAAGAGGAATGTCAAAGAATTTGTGGACATCTTTTAAAGCAACCACAATGAATATTTGAGTGGTTTCCAAGTTTTGGCTGTTACCAATAAAGCTGCTTATAAAATATATATGTAAACATCTGTATAGAGTTGCTTTTATTTGTTTTGTGTAAATAGCTAAGAGTAAAACAGCTAGTTTGTGAGGTAGGATTATGTGTAACATTTTATAAAACTACTTCTATACCAAAGACTGCAAAACACTGCTAAGAAATTAAGGAGACAAGAATTCTTACTTTGCTGTATTTATTTATCATTGTTTATAATAATGTTAATATTCTTTTATGTATTAAATTCCTAAAAATATTTCATTTCTTTAAAAAATTAAAGAAAACCTCCAAAAATTTGGAATTTTTTTCCTCAATTGATTGTATCGTTTTACACCAGCAATGTATGAGTATGCTAGTTGCTTTATGTGATTGTCAATACTTGTTATGGTCACTCTTTTAAAATTTATTATGGTTTAAATTTGCATTTTCTTAAGAACTAATGATTCTAAGCGTCTTTTCATGTGTTCATTTGCAATCTATATATCTTCTTTGGTAAAATGTCAGATCTTTTCCTCATTATAAAAATGAGTTGTCTCATTATTATTTAGTCATAAGTATCCTTTCTCTGTCCCATATATGTCTTTTGTCAGATAAACATTTTGCAGATATTTTTTCCCAGGCTTTGGCTTGTCTGTTTGATTTTTATAGCACTCTGATTTGAGGGGCAAGTTTTTTTTTTCAATTTATATTTATAGTTTTTGTGTTCTATTAAGAAATAGTTACCAAAGCAAGTTCACAAAGATTTTATTCTATGTTTAATTTAGATCTATGATACATTCCAAGTTAATGTTTGTGTGTGTTGAATGGTAATGGTAAAGGTTTTCTTTTCTTTTTACTTTTCTTTTTTTTTTTCTTTTTTTTTTTTTTGCATATACCTCTTCACTTGTTTGTTTCAGCACCATTTGTTAAAAAAAATATATATTTTTGGACTTCCAGCCAACATGGAGGTATAGGTAGATACACTGTGTCTCCTCACACAACCAAAAGGTCAACAATAAATTTAAAAACAAAAAGCAACCAG